GCTGCTGATGATGATGATAACGATGATGATGATGATGATGATGATGATGATGATGATGATGATGATGATGATGATGATGATGATGATGACGATGATGATGATGATGATGACGATGAGGATGATGATGATGATTGTGATGATGATGATGATGCTGATGATGCTTATGATGATGATAATGATGATGATGATGTTGATGATGATGCTGCATATTGATGATGATGATGATGATGCTGCTTCTGATGATGATGATGATGATGGTGATGATGATGATGCTGCTGATGATGATGATGATGACGATGATGATGATGCTGATGATGATGATTATGATGATGATGATGATGATGGTGATGATGATGATGATGACGATGAGGGTGATTGTGAGGACGAGAACGAGGATGAGGATGAGGGTGAGGGTGAGGATCAGGATGAGGATCAGGATTATGATGATGATACTGACGATGATGCTGATGCTGATGCTGATTATGATGATGATGCTGCTGCTGCTGATCATGACGATGAGGATTATGATGCTACTGCTCCTGCTACGATGAGGATGACGATGACGATGATGCTGATGCTGATTATGCCGATTAGGCTGATTATGCTGATGATGATGCTGATGATGATGATGATGATGATGATAATGGTGATGATGGTGATGATGATTCTGAATCATGACCATCATCATATATTATGATGATGATGCTGCAGCTGCTACTGCTGCTGCTCATTATGACGATGACGAGGATGATGCTGATGATGCTGATGATGATGAGGACGAGGGCGAGGATGAGGATGAGGATGAGGGTTAGGATGATGATGAGGATGAGGATTATGATGATGCTGATTATAATGATGATGATGCTGTTGATGATGATACTGACGATGATGATGCTGATGATGATACTGCTGATGATGACGCTGACGCTGATGCTGATTCTGATGCTGATTATGATGATGATGTCGCTGCTGCTGATAATGACGATGCTGATACGGATGCTGCTGCTACTGCTGCTGCTAATAATGACGATGACGACGATGACGATGATGAGGATGAGGATGATGATGATGATGAGGATGATGATGATGATGATGATGATGACGATGATGGTGATGCTGATGATGCTGATGATGCTGATGATGATGCTGATGATGCTGACGAGGAGGATGATGATGAGGATGAGGGTGATGACGAGGACGAGGCGAGGATGAGGATGAGGAGGAGGATGAGGAGGATGATGATGATGATCATGAGGATGATGATGCTGATGCTGATGATGATGTGGATGTGGATCATGACGATGAGGATGATGATGATGATGATGATGATGATGATGATGGTGATAATGATGCTGATGATGATGATTGACAGGAGGATAAGGATGAGGATGAGGATTTGGATGTGGTTCAGGATGATGATGGTGATGATGCCGATGATGATGACGACCATGATGATGCTGATGATGATGATGATGATGATGATGATGATGATGATGATGGTGATGACGGTGATGATGATGATGATGATGATGATGATGATGATGATGATGATGATGATGATGATGATGCTGATGCTGTTGATGATGATGATGATGATGATTATGATGATGATGATGATGATGATGATGATGATGATGATGATGATACTGATGATGCTGCTGATGATGATGCTGTTGATGCTGATGATGATGATGCTGATGATGATTTTGACTTCTCGCACTCCGCTGATGCACTTTTGTGCACCACGGCACGAATGCTCAGCCCGCTTGGGACTTGCCTAACCCAGGGGTGAGCTTGCTGGCTTAGAATTCTCGGGCCCAACCACTTCTACGGTGTGCGTCTTATCTTCCTTTTTCTGGGAAGACAGCCGATCCTGTATATGTGCGTGCAGACTTTTATGCGCACTCTGCTGCCGAGGACCGCCCCCCCCCTCCCCGCAGACGCCAACGGAGTGTCACAAGCGCAGGCCACGCACGCTCAGGGCCCCGACGAAGTGCCCGAAATGGGCGGCGACGGCTCTCTCTACACGCTGAGCTGGCATAAACATACATTTTCGACGGTCCGCGCTGATTTGCTGGATCTGAGCTGGGCTCCCCGCTCCAGGGCGTGCCAGGGAGGCGAGGCCCATCGCGGATCCAAGAAATCCGCGCGGACCGTCTAACGTTTATGCTTATGCCGTTTTTTCTTTATCAAATCTTGTCCCACTCGCACCTTGGGCGGGAGACAGTCTTCGGGCAACCGTGATGCTGACTATGACGATGATGATGATGCTGATGATGCTGATGAGAATTATGAGGACCATGATGATCAGTATGGCGTGATGAGGATGGGAATGAGGAGGAGGATGAGGTAAACGGGGGTGGTGGAGGTGATGATGATGATGAGGAGGTGGATGAGGATGAGGGTGATGATGCTGATGATGATGCTGACGATGATGATGATGCTGATGATGAGGATGATGATAATGATGCCATTGATGATACCTTCAGGAGGGGATCATATTGGTTGTTGTGGTGATGATGGGGTGATGATGGTAACGATGATGCAGATGATAATTCTGATGATGATAGCGATGATGATGACGATGACGATTACGATGACGGTGACGATGACGATGATCCTGATGATGATGAGGATGATGATGCTGCTGATGCTGTTTCTGATGCTGATGCTGATGATTATGATGCTGATGCTGATGAGGATGATGATGCGAATGTTGATGATGCTGCTGATGACAATGCTGATACTGAGGACGATGATGCTTATGCATATGATGATGATGATGATGCTGATGATGATGATAATGATGATGATGCCGATGATGATGCTGCTGACAATGACGATGACGATGATGATGCGGCTGATGATGATAATGGTGATGCTGATCATGCGAATGATGATGATGACGATGATGTCGATGCTGATTTTGACGATGATAACGATGATGGTGAAGCTAATGGTGATGATGATGCTGATGATGCTGCTGATGCTGATGCTGATGTTGATGACGTTGATGATGATGATGATTCTGATGCTGCTGCTGATGATGATGATGATGGTGATGTTGATGCTGATGATGATGACATAGATGCTGATGATGCTGCTGATGACGATGATTCTGATTATGATGATGATGATGCTGATGTTGATAACGATGAGGATTATGGTGATTATGATGGTCATAATGACCTGATGAGGAGGAGCAGGAGGAGGAGGATGAGGTGAACGAGGGTGGTGGAAGTCGTGATGTTCACGGGTAGATGATGATGATGATGATGATGACGATGAGGAGGAGGAGGAGGATGAGGATGAGGGTGATGGTGCTGATGATGATGCTGACGATGATGATGAGGATGATGATGTTGATGCCATTTACGATAACTTCAGGAGGAGGATCATATTGGTGGTTGTGGTGGTGATGCTGGGGTGATGATGATAACGATGATGCCGATGCTGATTCTGATCATGATAATCATGATGACGACGATGACGATTACGATGACGGTGACGATGACGATGATCCTGATGATGACGAGCATGATGATGATGCTGCTGATGCTGATTATGATGCTGATGCTGATGATTATGATGATGCTGATGATGATGACGATGATGATGCTAATGTTGATGATGCTGCTGATGACAATGCTGATACTGAGGACGATGATGCTTATGCATATGATGATGATGACGATGATGATGATGATGCCGATGATGATGACGATGATGCTGCTGCTGCTGATGATGATGATACTGATGATGATGATGATGATGATGATGATGATGACCTTGATGTCGATGCTTATTTTGATGATGATGCCGATGATGATGATGATGAAGATAATGTTGATGACGATGATGATGATGATGATGATGATGATGATGATGATGATGATGATTCTGATGCTGCTGATGATGCTGTTGATGCTGATGTTGATGACGATGATGCTGATTATGATGCTGATGCTGTTGCTGATGATGATGATGCTGATGCTGATGATGCCGATGATGATGCAATAGATGCTGATGATGCTGCTGATGATGATTATGATGATGATGATGATGATGATGATGATGATGATGATGATGGTGATGATGATGATGATGATGATGATGATGATGATGATGATGATGATGATGATGATGATGATGATGCTGATGATGATGATGATGATGATGATGATACTAGTAATAATAATAACATTAATGCTAATAATAATACTAATGATAATAATAGTGATAGTAACCATAATGATAATAATAATGATGATAATAACAATGATAATAATAATAGTAATAATAATATTAATAATAATGATAATAATAATCATCATGATGATAATCATGATGATGTTGATGATGTCGAGGAGGAGGATGCACCCAATCGAGAAAACCATTGACGAAGCTGGCCAGTGCCCTTCGCCGGGCCTTGCTTGAGACCCCCCCGTGCTGAGCCCACCACCCATGCGCGGTCGCCACAGGGCTGCCGGGCGAGGCCCTGGACCCAACCGTCTCCAGACAAGCTGGCAGTCTGTCGACAAAGTCTCGAATAGTAAAAAACTATAGACACATGGCTGCCGATGGGCCGCCGATGTCTTCCGATGGGCCATCCATGGGCCGCAAATGGCCGACGTTAGAAGGACGAACAAAACTGCATAATTATGAACTTTCGGAGCTCCGCGCGGATTTCTTGGATCTACGCGGGGCCCCTCTGGCGGCGCCTCCAGCGCCGATCCAAGAAATCTGGCGGCCCATCGGGCGGCCCACTGGCGGCCCACTGGTGGCCCACTGGCGGCAATCGGCGGCCCATCGGCGGCCAGGACGACCACGACCACGATGGCGACCAAGACGACGACGTTGACGGTGACGACGTGGCGACGACGACATCGGCGACGACGACATCGGCGACGACGACATCGGCGACGACGACCCCGACCTTCGAACAGCGATCCCCGATCCTCGATCCCCGATCCTCGAACCCCGATCCTCTGTCCCATGAGGATGCTGGACCACCTGCTCAACAGCCACTCCGTGCACATGGAGCTGCTGGAGATAGTGATATTCGACGAGGCTTCGCCCGCGCATTGGCCCGAGGAGCAGCAGGACGAGGGGGAGGAGAAGGTCGTGTCCTCGTCACTAGGGTCCTCGTCGGCGTCCTCCGACTTCGGGGGGTCCGGCGCAGGGTTACCCCTGAGCCCACGCCTGGCGCCCCCCACGGCGTTCTCTCGGCGGTGCTCGTGGGGCCCACGGGGTCGGGAGCTTCGGAGGTCCACTGGCAGGCGGTCGAGTCGGCTGGGAGAGAGCCGCTGGGCCGAAGGCCCGCCTGAACTGGGAGGAGGGGCGACGTGCAATCTCTGTTTCGGTCTCGGCCAAGGCAGGACGCAGGGACCCATGGCAGGACTGGGCGCTCGAAGCCCAGCACCAATCAAGCACAGGGGAGATCGTTCCCGACTCGGGGGCGGCTTTTCTCGGCGCATTCTGGATGCCGCCCCGAGCCCTTTGGCCGAGGGTGGCCTTCAGGTACCCTTCAGCTTGCGAGGGCCGCCAGCGCAGAGGGCTCCACGCGTAGCGCACAACGGAACTTCCCGCCGCACGTCGAGGGCAGAAGAAGCACGAACAGCAGAGCGGCGCGGGCGGTCCAAAGCGGGAGCGCCTCTCCTGCAGCTCCGCCGCGTTCCTTGGTGGCCTGGGCAGCCCCCTTGTGCGGGTGACTGGGCCCTCCCTCCCAGGCAGCCCGCGGGGAAGACAGGAGGGGTTCGAAGAAGACAGAACGGCATGAACATGCTCTCGGAGCTCCGTGCGGACCTCCAACAGTTTATGCTTATGGTATGTGTTTCTTCCCCTGGGGGCCCGCAGGTGGGGGACCAGAAACGATATAGAGGGCTCCTCCTTATGGGAGGGTTTGTGACACCTCCTGCACTGAAAGAGCGCGCCCCGCTCCATCACATCATGACCCGCGGTGTGCAATCTGTTCAGGTGAGCCTGCCTAGAGGTAACCCCCGAACGTTTCCGAACCTGCGAGGGCCCTTCACGCGTGCTCATACTCCTTCATCCCTAGGATTTGTTTCGTGATGAAAAGCGAGAGCACGCGTCATACACCGTTATCCTGCAACATATCGGCCGCGGTGGCCACCTCTACTTCATCAAGAGGGACTTGCACCCGCCTCGCAGCTTCATTCGCAGCACATCTGTCCGCGGGCTGATTCAACAGGAGCCCGACGGTCGACAGTTGCACAGCATACGTTTGGGCCTGGGTCTGGCCAGATTTGGTTATGGCGGATCTCAAGCTTATGCGGCCAGTGCGGATTTGAAGCTTATCCGACATGGAAGTCAAGAAACCAGCACCGATCTCTTACTCCTCATATCAGCCTCGGGATTTTTCTGCAATTCTGAATGACAGGTAGGTAGATGCAACACATGAGCACATTGCCCTCCGTGGCAGTCAATACGACCAACACCATCAGCAGTTCTGACCGCGGGGAGCATCACGGTGGCCCTTTGGAGAACTCCAAGGACCCCGTGCAAAGCTTGGGGGACATAGAGACCGCTAACAGCCTGATCGAGGGACATGAGCAACCTCAACCAGAGTGCGGGGACAGTGCCCTGCCCAGCGATCGCCATTTGGGCCCAACTAGCTGTGGCCTGGACTGCCGCACAGTCCGTCTCATATTCCTGCACCACTGCCAACAACCGTGCGCCAGTGGCTTGGGCGCGCCGCCACAATTCAGACACAACTGGCTCGAGCAGTAGCCCGCCTCGAGCAGGCGCGACTTGGGCCTGGGATTCGTACTCAAGGTCCCTTCCGATTTTTTTCTATGCTTGTGGGGGACCGTAACATCAACTTCAAGCTGGACCCCGCTCACCAAGTGATGATTGGTCGCTTTCCCCATTCCCAGTCAGCACAGCTTACCCTGAACGCTTGCCACCGATGGAACTCCAAATCCTTGGATCCGATGTGGCGGGGGAAACCAAACTCATCGGTATATCCACAAAGGGGAAGCAGGGTTGCACTCCATATCTAACAACGCAGCGACCGTGGTCAGCACGGGTCCTCGTACTCGCCTCCAGCGACAGTGGGCCGGGAGGCATGGCGCGCTTTTCGCAGCCCGCAGCCTAGAGTCCGGGCCTGGCACGGCCCGGCACATGCCTTCCATCCTACAACCTGGGCGCGGTGCGGCACGTCTGCCGCATTCTAGATCTTGAGGACGGCACGGCACGGTTCGCGGCAGTCGGGCACGGCACGGCACAGTCTTCGCATTCCAGAAGTTACGCGCTGCAGGGCACGGCGGGTGCGGCACGGCACAGTACGGCACACGTTTCGAAGTCCAGGACCCAGGCACTGCAGGGGACTGCACATTTTCCGTGCATTCTAGAAAGCTGGGCGCGGCACGGCACGCGGGCACAGTGCGGCACGGCACGGCACTCCGGCGGCACGTTTTTCGCAGCCCGTGTTCTAGAGGCAGATTCCGTGTCAAACAGCTCAGACCCTTGGCAGCATTCGCTGTCTTGGGGGGTACGCCTTCCCGTCCCGTCCCAGGTGTCGCAGGCCAAGAGGTTGACACCAACACCAATATCGGCGGTTTGCTTCCACCGAGGGAGGAAGACCCCGATCTCGGTGATGGTGGTCATATTCTGGCTCCCAAGGTGGCCAACACATTACCACCAGCACCGAAATGTAGGATCATCTTCCCCCTGTGGCGGCAACCCCCCCGTGTTGGTGTCGGTGCCCATTTCCAGGCCTCCAAAGGTGCCCTCCTCATTCCCACCTGCACGCGCGCTCTCTTTCACCGCGCGCAGCGCAGCCTTGCAGGGCGAGCGCCCCGGGGGCCCGCAGCTCGGGCGGGAGATCCGCTCTGCAGGAAGCCGCCCTCCATCCTGCGGGCTGTGAGGACTGCGAGGCGGGTGGGGCCGGAGCGTTCCAAGGAAGGGCCCACCGACAGCCCCGCTTTGAAGAGGAGCCTCCCTGCATCGGTGCAGCTGCTGCCCAGGTGTTCGAACTTTTGAGCCCCACCTTGAAAAGAGGCCGCTTTCCATCCGGTGAGCTATTTTACCATTTTCCAGCTGTGGTAAATTGTTTTGGGGAGGTCTGAGGCTAGATTCCTATTTCGAAGACGTGCCAGCCTCACTCCATGTAACTTGCGCAAGTGTACGCTTGTGGTCATAGTTTTGTGAGGATGTCGCAGGCGTGAACCACATTCAGAAATCGACTAGCCCTCCATCCGTGTAACTGCTGATACCTTAGAAGACGAGTGAAACTTTAGAAGACGTATGTCCGCGGGGCGAAGGCGAGAGCCATATGTTGAAAACGACTGGCCCTTCGTCCATGTGGCTGTTGACAGACCTTCAGGCGAATTTGCGCGGCGCTAAGGCGAGGGAGAGCCGGTCCTCCATGCGTGCAACACTTTGGGATTTCAGCTTCGGAGCATCAAACGGCGCAACCGTCTCAGGGCAAGCGCCCGGCCTGGCCTACGGTCACGTTTGGTGGTGCAGCAGGGCGAAGTTACCGGCATCACCCAAGCACGTACTAATACTACGTGTGTGTCGTCCCCAAAGGCGACGCGCGCGCCGAGAAATCTTACAGTACATGTTCGGTGGCGGGCGCTGTCTGGCCATGCCGCTCGGGAAGTGATATGCTGAAAGAAGTTGTGCTATATGCTCGGGTCGGACGCACGTCTCCGAGGAGGACACATAGTACTCAAAAGGATGAGGGATGCAGGAGAAGGGTCCATTCCCAGCTCCCTCGGCCCGGTGCTCTCGTCGAGGCCGACCGCCTGCTCGAGCTGGGGTTCAGGAACGAGTGCCTGCAGGCTGGGGCCGGGGCGCCTGATGAGGGAGGAAATTGAAAGAGGAGAAGGAGGAGGAATCTCGTGTAACAAATGATGACACATACATAAGCTTTGGAAGTTCCGCGCGGACCTCGAGAACAAGAGGAGCAGGAGGAGGAGGCGAGGAGACATATGCACATACATAAGCTTTGGGAGTTCTCTCTCTCTCTCTCTCTCCTCTCCCTCTCATACATATGTACATATATGTGTTCAAGCATATGACATTCATGTTGATGTCCGAGGTGTGTCTACTTGTATGTTGAAGTGTGCGTCTTCTGCAAACCAAAAGCGACGTCAACCCACCATTCTCCTTATCACCCGAAGGGTGGCGTATGAGGTACTGCAACCCCCGCTCGGGGCATTGAGGATCGATGTTCGAATATGGAGGTTCGAGATCGTTTTTGGCTCTTCTTGGGCGGGCGAGGGAGAGGCTGAGGGAACTATAGGGGCGATGGACATCGTGGTAAGGGGGCGAGGGGGCGAGGGAGCGAGGGAAGGAGGGGGTGGCTACACCCTCGTCCTCCTTCTCAACCCTCCTCCTCCTCCTCCTCTTCCTCCTCTTTCTCCTCCTCCTCCTCCTCCTTTCCTCCTCCTTCTCCACCTCCTCCTCCTCCTCCTCCTCCTCCTCCTCCTCCTCCTCCTCCCCTCTCCCCCTCCTGCCTCCTTCTTCCTGGCACTACTTGAAGCCCGCAAAGTCTGGCAGTTCTATCTCGATTGGTTGTGGTTGACATCATGTCTTCGAACGTAGTGCAAAGTTTCCGCTGTCGTTTTGGGCGGGGCCCTACGGACAGCACGAGAAGGTTTTGTACGAACGCCGACACCTCGTCTAAGGCTATGGCTTTGGCGGTGAAAGAAGATACAGGTGCAGACATGTAAGTCCCGGCCATGGCGTATGCAGCGAAACTTCCACGGTGCCCAAGCTCCACAATCCAAGCCGCTGCGGAACAGGATTCTGCACCAATGCCGCCATCAGAGCGCACAGCTAGATTGCACTCTTCTACAGAAACGCCCGGGAATGGTCACGGGAGCGTTTCGGACCAGCTTCGGCCCTTGTTCATTGTATGATCCACAAGATAATATGTTATGATGTTTTTCTCGTGCCTACGCCACCTCACTGGATCCCGCCACGAGCGGGAGGGGCTCCAACCTGCCTCGACGAGGCTCGCCAGGTTCCAGCAAATTCTGGTGAACAGTGGTTCCAACTGCTCGTCGGCCAACGGTGACATGCCCATGGCGAATTGCTGCATAGGCTGGCAATCGACCGCGAAAGTATAGCAGCCAGATTCGTGTCCCCAATCGTGAGAAGCATCATCCTCGTCATCGGCATGGTCACGCGGGCGCGATTGTAAGTCTCCTTCGTGCCTGTAAGTCTCTTCCTGCCTCCTACCCATCCTCCGTTCTCCTTCTCCTCCGCCTTGTCCTCGTCGTCCTCCTCCTCCTGCTATTTATTCTTGCCCTCCTCCAGTATCCTGGCAGCTTTGGCTTGTGATTTGTTTGAAGGTCTCCTTGGCTCCCTTGCTCTCACCCCTCCTCTACTTCTCCTCCCTCTCCCCCATTCCCCCCCTGTGCCTTCTCTTTCCCCCTCCTTCCTCCTCCGGCTCCTCCCTCCCTCGCTCCCTCCTTCCAGGAAGGGAGGGAGCTCGTCGAAGCGACCAGCACTTGGCGCTGCCAGGTGCTCCAGCGCTGCTCGAAAGGCCGCCAGACCATGCTGTTCTCCGCGACGCTCAATGCGTCTGTCGAGGACGGTTTGGCTCCTTTGTGTTATGTGATGATGGAGGCTGCAGGCGGAGCATGATCATTGGATGGGGTTGGGAGGAGGAGGAGGAGGAGGAGGAGGAAGAAGGGGCGGAAGGGCAGGAGGAGGGAGGGAATAGGTGGAGGGAGGGGGCCGACGACGACGAGGAGGGAGGAGAGGAGGTGGCCGACGACGACAGCGGACGACGGAGGAAGCGAGGGAGGGAGGGAGGGAGGGAGGAGGAGGACGAGGAGGAGGCGGAGGAGGAGGAGGAGGAGGAGGAGGAGGAGGAGGAGGAGGAGGAGGAGGAGGAGGAGGAGTGGGAGGTGGAGGAGGAGGAGGAGGAGGAAGAGGAGGAGGAGGAGGAGGAGGAGGAGGCGGACGAGGAGGAGGAGGTGGAGGAGGAGGAGAAGGAGGAGGACGAGGCGAAGATCAGCCGCATGTCAGAGATGTATGGGGAAAGGGGACGAGTTGAAGGAGCATGAGGGGCAGGAGGTCCCCTGCTCGTCGGCCCTTTTCCTCTGCAAGCGGACCCTCAATAGTCCAGAAGACTCAGTGGTTCTAAACGGAGTAAATGTTCATGCCATTCTCCTTGACGCACCTCCTGAGCTGCACCTCGTTGTGATCCGCGTCCTGTTTGTTCTCCCACTCAGCCTTCCGCTCCTCTCCCCTCCTGTTCCTCCTCATACTTCTCTTAATCGTCCTGTTCTCCACCCTTGTCTTGTTCATGCTTCTGTTCGGCATCATGCTGCTATGCCTGGCCCTCTTCTTTGTCCTCCTCATGTTCCTGCTCCCGCTCCCTCCCATGTTCCTCTGCCCTGGACCCTGTGTCTTTTCCCGCCCCCGCTTCCCTTCTTCTCGACCCACCCCTGTCACGCATGGCTCATAATCCTACACTCTCCTCATTCCCTTTCCTCCCTCTTCCCTCGTCCCACTTCCTTCTTCCTTCTCTCATCGCTCTTCGCCATTCTCACCTATTTTGCATCCCCAATCCTCCCACTTCTCGCCCACATCGACCGCACCGTCTTTCTCTTGCCCTCCTCATGCCTGCTCTTTTCCATGTTGTTGTTCCCGTTAGCATCTCTGTCCCCTTGCTCGGCTTCGTCGCATCACTATCCTCCTCTCCCTCCACCTGCACATTCCATTGCCATTTGGGTTCCAGGGCCAGGTGGCTGCGGGCGTTCGATGCTTAGGGCTTCGAGATTAAACCCTAAGCCATCCCCTGCGGGAGAGCTGGGAAACAGCTGTTAGGGTGGCGGCCTTCGCCAATTGTCGAGCTGCATGGCGCGCTTCCGCGCCTCCAGCTCCGACTGTGGGTGGTCGATATGGCTGCCATGGGGCAATGATGCGTCACGTCTGGAAGTGATGTCGGACTCATGATGACTGACTGCTTTTCAGGTGACTTCTGAGCCCTCAGCGGTCCTCATGCACCACGTGTGGGTTTTCATCCATGACGCACTCCTCCGAACAATGGGTCAGGGACATTTCTGTCGATGAAGTATGGCTGTTCTGGGCGCCGTGTGGAGGCGGGGGGAGAATAACAATATTGCGAAGGCTTACGGCCATTGCTGCCGACTGAATGGCGCCGACGACGACGAGGACGACGACGATGACGAGGACGAGGACGAGGACGAGGACGGCGACGACGACGACGACGACGACGACGACGACGACGACGACGACGACGACGACGACGACGACGACGACGACGACGAGCGCTCTCGGGTGCCTCTTGGGGGTAGTTTGGGGGCCTCTTGGGAGGCTCTTGGGGGCCGCTTGGGAGCCTCGTGGGGTCCTCTTGGAGCTTCTAGGGGTCTCTTGGGGGCCTCTTGGGGCCTCTTGGGAGGCTTCTCAGGGGCATCTGGGGTCCTCCCGAGAGCTTCTCAGGCCGAGGGCTCGAAATGACCGTTCGGGCCCCTCGTCTGGGCTCCCTCTTAGAGCCGTCTCCGGGCCTCTTCGGCTGTCTTGGAGGCCTCTTGGAGGCCTCTTGGGCCATCTTGGGGCGGTCTTGGGGGCGCCTTTGAGCGTTGGGAAGCTGACAAAGCAAGAATGCCGAAGTCTTTCAAACACCTCAGGGAGCTCGATTATTTTTGCCACTCGGGGCCCTCTTGGAAGTCCTCTGGGAGGCCTCTTGGGGCGTTTTGGAAATCTTTTGAGCCGCCTGGAGACTACTTTGGCGACTTGGACCGATACTTCGGCCGTTCGGGGCCCTCGAGCACCGTCTTGGATCTTGGGGCACTTTTACGTTCTTGGGGGCTTTTCTAAGCCCCCGAACCGCCCAGGGGGGAGTCTGGGTGGTGACCCCCCTGGGTGGAGTCGTATCTGGGTGGCGACCCCCCCCGGGACCCCCCCCCCCAGGCGGGGAAGGGATCAAAGGGAAGGGGCTGCCCTTCGATTCAATTACGAAGGGCCTAGGGAATGGAGAGAGGAGCGGCGAAGGCGACGACGACGAAGACAACGATCACAACGACGACGACGACGAGTTAAACTGAACAGCCTCTCCCACACGCCGACAGGGTCGGCGGATTTTCTGAAAGTGTCAAGCATCTCGTGCAACAGTGTATCATCATTTTTTCCATGGAAATCCTGCGGAACTGCGTATCCTCATACTTTCCCGCAGATCGACTGATTCTGGGAGTAGGGCTTCTTTGAACATGTTATCAGCTGGAGGTTCGCGGTCGGATGGGAGGAGGAGGCGGAGGAGGAGGATGGGAGATATGTGTATGGATACGGATATGGATGTGTGTATGCATACATCTGTATTATGTTTATGCGTGTGCATATGAGTATGTAGGTGTGCATGTGTTAGACATGTAACCAGACATCTATGACTGTACGTACGTATGTATGTATGTATGTAGTGTAATGTAATGTAATGTAATGTAATACAATGTAATGTTTTGTAATGTAATGTAATGCCATACGATGCAATGTAATATAGTGTGATCTAATGTGTGTGACGTATTGTAGTGTAATGTATTGAATGAGATATGGCATCTTGAAATGTAAGGTATTGTAGTGTGATGTAATTGCTTGTAATGTAATGTGATGTAATGTGATGTAGTGTAGTGTAATGTAATGTATTGTGTAGTGTAGTGTAATGCGATCTACTGCGATGAAATGTGATGCAATGTGATGGAATGTATGCATGCATGTATGTATGTCCGGATTTATGTATACATGCATCTATTTGTGAACGCCTGCATGCAGGTTTGTATGCACGTACGTATGTATGCATGCATGCATGCATGTATGTGTGAAAATATGTACGTATGTGTTTGTGCATGTATGTATGCATGCGTCTGTCTGTCTGTCTGTCTGTATGTCTGTATGTCTGTATGTCTGTATGTCTGTATGCCTGTATGTATGCATGTATGTATGTACGTATATACGTGTGTACGTATGCATGCATGTATGTATGTATGTGTGCATGTGTGCATGTACGTGTGTATGTATGTATGTATGTACGTACGTACGTACGTACGTACGTATGTATGTATGTATGTATGTATGTACGTATGTATGTATGTATGTATGTACGTATGTACGTATGTACGTATGTACGTATGTATGTATGTACGTTTATATGTATGCATGTATGTCTGTATGTCTGTCTGTCTGTCTGTCTGTCTGTCTGTCTGTCTGTCTGTCTGTATGTATGTATGTATGTATGTTTGTTTGTATACATGTATGTATATATTTATATATGTATTCATACATATATACATATATATACACACATAATTGTGTACACATATAACGGCGCACCAGGCCTGGGGGCCCCGGGGCCAGGCCCCCGACCGCAAATATGGGGCCCATGGGGCCAGGCCGAAGCCCAACATCGCCCCGGAGACCCATCAAACAGCTGTCCAGGCGGCTCACGACGACCCATAGCCAGCCCCCGGACGGCTTCCAGGAATCTCAAACGCTCCAAGAGAGCCTCAAGTCGCCTACAGAGACGTTCCAGACAGCCCCAGAGGGCCCCAGGAGAATCTCCTGAACGCTTCCGACACCGCAGAAACCTTAAAAAGGAAGTGAAACATATGATTGTTGACTTCTCCCTCTACTTCGATAGGCTGCGGGGGCCTCTGGATCGCTCCCTGGAGGCCCCAAGGAGGCTTCGAGACGCCCCCAACAAGCTCCCGAGACGCTCCAGGAGGCCCCCAAGAGGCTTCCAAGAGGCCTCCAAGAGACCCCAAATAGACCCCCCAAACGCTCCCCGAGCTCCCAAGAAACCGCCACAGTAGGCTCCGTAGCCATTTTGGCTCAAGATTTGTCGTCGTCACGACAAGGTGTTCTCTTTGCAATCTGGTATACGAGCATCTTTAACCGAACGACAGGGCCCACACAATGCAGTTTCAGGACGCATGCGTGACCATAGCGGGTGACACGGCCGACGACTGCGCCGGGCGAGCGGTTTCGACTCTGGAGGTGGTTGCGTCGTCGGAGGTCTCAATGGCGCCCTTATCCTTTGCGGAGCCCCTTGTCGAACACTCCGATTCGTTCACGGGTGAGACGCCCATCAATTTGTCGCCGGAGCTGGTTTGTCTGTTGGGCGGGGATTTCTCTTTCGTGTGCACTGCCAAGATGGACGGCGTCGGCCCGTGGAGCCGCATATTCGACTTCTCCCTCGAAGCGGACGAGGACAGCATCACAGCGGGGGCCATCGAGCTCACTCAAGATTTCCACTTCACCATCTTCCGGGGGAAGAAGCCAATCAGCGTGCGCGTTGACGGTTTATTCAAGCTCGGAGAGGAGTTCACCGTGCTGTGCACTGTTTCGGCCGCTGGGCACATGAAAGTGTTCAAGGACGGCGTGCTTGTGGGTGAGAGGACGGATGGGATGGCACCGCTACGCGTGGACAGGCCGCGCATGATGGTCGGCGGCCACTATTTGTTCCAGGATCAATACTTCCGTGGTACCTTGAAAGACGTGAAGGTTTGGAACCAAGAAGTCGCTTGGGAGGCGCAGTCAGCGTCGAGGGTTTTCGTGCACGCCTTTGGCAAAGTGTTTTCGGAGCACGTGGAGACATCGCCCGGTTCGGAGTTGGACGGCAAGCTCCGCGGTGTCCGCGATGCGGTGGATCCGACAAGCGAGGACGCGAAGGCTTGAGATTCGGAGGCCGAGATGCTTCTCTCGAGGAGCGACGAAGGGTGTGCTCTCGTCAGCTCGGTGCAGGTGTGGCACCTGTCGTGGGCAGCGGGGGCGTTCCCCCAGCGACACCCTGATGGTCCAAGATCGTTGTGGGGATTCTTGGGCGTGGTTAGCCATTTCGGCAATCCTGACGCGCTGCCCTGTCCGCTTTGGCCAGTGTCACACGTTCGAGCCACGTGGGGCATGGTTCGGGTTGAGTGGGGGGGATGCTCTCAGGATGAAGCACGTCCCTGCACATGCATGTAGTAGTAATGCGCAGCATTCCATGCTTGGAGCTGTTGAAGGTTGCTGTACGTATTCCATTGTCATTTTGACTGGGCATCACTGAACACTGGTTGGTTGATGTCTTCCCTGTTCCGGGTAGAATGATACGCCGAACGGGGGCCATTTGATTGCATCACTTTCCGCGGTATACTCTCACACTTTGGTAGTGTAGGAAGCTCTGTGTTGGCTGAGCTCTCGCACGGCAATGCCCGCTTAGAATTTGCGTACAATCCAACCGATGCGGAGAATGATGCGTCTCTTAATTAGGTTTGTTGAGACACAGCTGGCATCGCTGCATTTGGTGACGTGCCTTTTCTGACGTCTCGTGCTGTAAACAAAAAGAACCCACCAGAGTAGGCCCTCAAGGCCCCTACAAGCCTCCAAGAGGACCCAAGGGCCCCCAGAGACCCCACAAGGCCCCCCCCCCCAGAGCGAAAAGCCTCTCCCAGAGGCTCCCAACAGGCTTCGAACAGCTTCCAAATATCCCCAAGAGGCTCCACAAGGCTCCAAGAGGCTACATGTGTATGGACACACACTTCTGTCATTTTTCGACCAGTCAATCGGAGGGCACTGTCATTCTTATGTTTGGAGTTTGCTGCCGTTGTTGGTGGGAAGACAAGGTTGATCCACAGCAATGCGGCTCAATGAGCCGACGGTCGTTGCTGAGGGAACGCAGGCGACCACATTCGTCACAGCGATGCTGGCTCAATGCGGCGGTAATCGTGGCTGCGAGCAGCATGGACTCCTGCTATCGGTGAAGACAAAAATAGGTTGCTCCACACCAACTCCAAAATATTTTCAAGAGGGCCCAGAGAGGCCTGACATGGCAGAACAGGTCTCAACGTCGTCCCAACAGAGCCCCAAGATGATACCAAAACAGCTCCACGATAATCAACGGAGGATCTTGGACAGGTCCCCAGGCAAGTCCTCTGGGCGTGTCCCCTCACCAGTCCCCTGGCCCTTCAGACAGCCTTCAGACAGCCCGAGGAAGCACCCAAAGAGAACCCTCCATTCCAGGCCAGAACCCTGCCTCACCCTTTCTGCATCCACCATCGTATCTCCTTCCTTTCTCTCCCCTCCTCCTTTCCACCTCCCTCCGCCTAAACATCGCTTTCCCTTTCCTTTGCGTCCTCCCTCCTTCCTCTGACCTTCTCCTCGCCCTCCCCCTTCCTTAGCCATCGGTCATTCCTTCCAGATCCTGCGCCATCTGTAGTTTCCTCTGTTCTGGCACTGCCCTCTGATGCCTACTGTCCCCATTGCCCCCGCACTTCACTGCCTTCTCCATCTCTTCATCCTGCCCCCTACTCTCCCGTCCCCTCTTCTTCCCGCCTCCTCCCTCCTTCATCCGCCCACCCTCTACATTTTCACATTGCATGTCCTCTCCACTCTGCATCCTTTGTTCTCCCTCTACGCTCCTCCTCACGCTCCTCTCTCTCTCTCTTGCGTCCTCGCTACTGTCCCAAGACTCGAGCACGCTGCGTGATTGAATGCCCAGGCGCGCGATGATCAAGTGGAACCTGAGCACGCGCGAAGCACGCGATGGTTTTAGGATATATTTATAGATCGGGAAAAAGAGAGATGGAGAGATAGGACAATCTGGTCGGAGTCCCGTCCACGGGCTGGCGGGCAAGCGCGCCGCATCCGAAACGTTTTTGGCCGGTGCCGTCGGCTAAATGGGGCCCTACGCGTCCGTCTTGGGCAGTCGGCCTGGGGCCCCAGCGAGCAAGTCGTGTACTGTGACGGTGCCTCGCTGCCGTCCGAGTTCCCGTCTTTGGCATGACGGTACCTCGCTGGCAGTGGCGGCCACAGTGGACGCTTGCCAGGTGGCGCACGGGCCTCGAAGAGAAGGTCAGCTAGCGGTTCTAGCGAGAAGCGTTTGGGCCGCGCGGAGGGCGATTGCGACGGAGGCGGAGACGCTCGCCGTCGCAGGGGCGAGCGAGGCCTGGCGCTGCACGGTGGCGTGAAGCTCGCGCAGCGTGGTGAGGTGCTGTCGCGTCGTGCGGCGAACGCGGCCGGAAAGGGACTGGACGTGCTCGAACTGGCGCTCGAGCCGCGTCAAGCGGTCGGCCGCTGGCTGAGCTTGGGCCTGGGCGGCTTGCACCTTCGACAGGAGGGGGGCTTGCGCGGCCGTCTGAGCGGCGTGCCAGGCCGTGCGCACCACGGGTGAGACTCCCTGGCGCTCGGCCAGAGCCCGAGTGGGAGGGCGGACCCAGAAGATGCAGGGTCCGCCTGGAGCGGCTTGGGCGCTCGTGGCGAAGGAGGACCACATTGCGAGGCAAGCAGGGGTCCACAATGGGGGGTAGGCCGGAGGTGCCGCGCTGCTGGTGGGAGGGGGGTCGATACCTCCATAGTCGGCTCGTTGTTGGAAGACCTGGTGGGGGTTGGTGGCAGGCAGCCAGGCGTCGCCGTCGAGACTCTACAGGTGGTACCCGCGCGGGAGATTGACGTACGGTGGCGGCGGTTGAGGCCCGCAGAGCGTGACCGTTTCGCGCCCGATGATTTATTTGCCGGCTGGCAGACCTGCCTTGTGCCGCTGGTGGGCCCAGGCCCGAGTGGGGCCCTTTGCCGTGGCTGCGAGTCGGACACGGATGACCTGGAGGAGCCAGTAGCCACACGCGCTTCGGTGCCGTGGGCAGTGGGAGGTGAATCCTCGGTGGCTGGGCCCGCGGTCACGTTGGGCTGGTGAGCGTGGGCCTCCTGAGGCGGCTCTGAGTCCAGGGTCGGGGATCGCTCGCTGGGGGCCAGGGTGTCCTTGGCCCTCGCCACGCGGTGAAGCGTCAGGCCCTGGGCCTGCGCTGGCTGATGAGCAGCGAGAGTAGGGGACTCCGACTCACGAGGCTGAGCTTGGGAGGCTGCGTGGCCGGTGAGGTGACGTGGCCACTGGGGGCTGTCGGCCGTTGTGGGCCGGGCCCTGGGTGTGGCCCTGGGGTCGTCGGGGGCGGGTCTCCGTTTCTCGTCGAGATGTGGTTGACTTTGCTCATAGAGACGTCGCTGCTGTATTCCCCCGCCACAGCTGAGCCGGGCATGCGGCGTCGTCGGGGGACCGCGCTGCGCTGGTCTCTCAGGGTCGACGCCTGGCGGGGCGTCGGTGGGGGTGCCAGGTGAGAGTCGTTTGAAGTGTCATCGCTGGCGAAGGGGTCGGCTTGCCTGAACCAGCGGTGCTCATCGAAAGGGGACATGCCCGTACGGTCGCGCAGCTGCCGCAGGGCAGGCCCTTGCGAGGGCGCCGCTTCAGGGCGCCGTGCGTCGTCGTCGGGTGGGTGGGGCGGTGCCGCGGGCAGCGGGTGAGCCACAGTGGGATGGGGCCGGCCTTGGTGCCCTGGTGGAGGGTCCGGGCAGTCCAAGTGCGCGTCCATAGCGTCACGGCGTGCGTCATTCATCAGTTGGATTGCGCGGTTCATCGCGTGGCCTGTGAGCGCGGCAATTTGGCGATGATGGTCGCGGCGCCCCCGGTCGCCTCGGCCCCGGGCTTCTTCGCAGATTTCGTGCGCGTGGCGACGCTGGAGGTCGGCCGCGCCCCATATAGAGACCCACGAAAGCGGCCGTTTTGAGAGCACGGAGGACCTCTCCCACACAATAGAGGAGCCACATTTGTTTGCCTCTGTCGGGATCGCAGAGGTCTGGGAGCCACCAACGGGTGATGCGGGCGAGGTGGTCGACCCACCTTGCTCGGGCCTCCTGTGCGTGTTGAATCAGCGGGTCAGTGGCAACTTGCGGCGCGCGGTGGTTGAGTGAGTCGCGCTCTCTGGCGCGGCTGCTGCCTCGGTGGGTTCCCCTTGGGCCCGGGGGCGGGGGTGGAGCGTTTCTTGTGCTGAGACTGCAAAGGGCGGCGCGTGGGCATTTCCTTGTCTCCGCAAGAGAAAATACAGAGTCTGGCGGCGCGGTGCGTTGCCGCCAAATGAGTAGAAATTTCGGACGCTTCAGCCCATCCAGAGCGATGCCCAGAGGAGGTGCCTCGATCAGGGAAGTGGGCAGGCAGCGCGCAGAGGAATGGCCCCCCAGTGGAGGCCTCCTGGAGCGTCTTGGTGGTCTCTTGGCGTCCCCGGAGGCCTCGGCGAACTTCTTGTGGCCTCTTGGGGGTCTTTTGGGAGCCTCTTGGGGGCCTCCTGGGCGCCTCTTAGGGCCTCCTGGGGCCTACTGGGCGCCTCCTTGGGGCCCTCTTGGAGCGCTCTTGGGGGCCATGGGAGCGCTCTTGGGGCCATCTTGGAGGACGTCGATCAAGCGAAAGGGGTTTTTTTATTAGGGCTGCCATCCCACGAGGTCACAATGGGGCCAAAACCTTGGTAAAACCAATGATTTGGCTTCCTCGCCGAGGCCGTCTAGGGCGCCCTGACACCTCGCGACCGTCCCCGTCCAGGTCCAGGGGTGGGGGGGTGGGGGGAGGGGTAAACCCCTCCCCGATGGGGAGGAGGGGCAGATGGAAGCAAACACACTCTGGACCACCTACGCCCTAAAGGCTGGTGGGATTTCTAAACGCACTTGGCTGCGCTTGCTGTCTGATGAGCCTGGGGTGGGTTTGGATATCACGACCAGGGCTATAGATATCCTCCAGCTTTCATGGCGCCGCTTCCTCTGGCCGGGGCGGCTCCCCAAGTTCGGCGGGGGGTGGGCGTCTTGGTGTTCGGCTGCATGCTTGCCTTCATGCCTGCATCGTGCAGGAGAGCCAGCCATGAACGCAAACACTATCAGAGGTCCGCCCGAATTTAATGGATCGCCGCTCTGGCGCGCTCCGCGCCGCAACAGGGGGATCCAGCGCCGACCCAAGAAATCCGAACCGCCCTCCGAAGTTTTCGTTGATGTCTTCTTTTCTATTGCAGGAGGCGGGCGAGTAAGACGCCGATTCCACCATCCCCGCGGCCTCCTGCCAGCTGGCGCCCTGGGCGCGCCCACGCGCTCGCAGGACTTGGCCGCCCTCGCGCTCGTGAAGCCGGTGCGCGTGCACGCAAATCCGGTGAACAGAGTGGCCGAGACGCTGGAGCAGGCTCCTCCGATTCGAGGGGGAGGGGCAGGAGGAGGAGGAGGTGGAGAAGGAGGAGGAGGAGGAGGTGGAGGATGAGGAGGATGATGATAATGATGATGATGATGATGATGAGGAGGAGGAGTTGGAGGAGGAGGAGGAGCGGGAGGAATATTGCGAGTGAGATGATGACGATGGTGAGGGAGAGAATGAGGACCAGTGTAAACCCAAAACGCATCCACGATGTTGCAATCCACTCCCTCCAAGTTCTGCCGCCATGGGTTCCTACATTAATTTCCGTTGCGGGAAGTGGCCCGTTAGAAGACTAGAACCACGCGCGCATTTCGCGCGCGCTTAGGTTCTGGTCAGCCGCAGCCCTTGACAAGGTAAAACGATCATTGAGCAGAGACCAATTACCGACAAGGATAATTATGCATGAGGTTCAACGCGAAGCTATGCAAACCAGTGAAGCCAGCGGTGGCATCGCGACAGCGACGGCGGCGCGAAGCGCGCGCTCAGGTTCTAACCCGCCCCACCCTTTGAGAAGGTCACAGCTCCACTGAAGTAGCTATATATATATATATTGTTTGAGCTTGAAATAACAAGGTAGCAATGACGCGGATTAAGCCGAGACGTACGGCCCCAGAGGAAGCCAGGGTTCACAAAGCGTCCCCACGTCAATTTCGGCACGGCCCTCAAATGGATCGTGCCCCCCGGTGAGCTCCATTGTCGGGTCCGCGGACAAAGTTCGCATGGCGTCTTCCCCCCCATCTCGGCACACCCTTCACACGGATCGTGCCTCAGAGGGATGCAGTTTCACGTGCGGCCCTAGGGAGGAGACGCACCACGTCACGCCCCCCTGTGTATGTTAACCATCTCTTCACACGGATCGTACCTCACAGAGAGCTCCACCGACAGCCCCAGAGCCAAGGTTCGCATCCTGCCGTCCCGCCTGTGTCGGCACACCCCTGTCCTTGGTCGTGAGTTTGGGCATCTTGGGCCTCTCTCGGGGCCTCGCGGAGTGTTTCTCAGGCCTCTTGAAGCCCTGAGATGGATCGTGAGTTGGGGGCCTCTTAAGCCTCTCAAAGACCGCCGTGCAGGACGTAGACGCGACACGTCTCATACGCTACTTGGGGCTCACCGGGAGGCCTCCTGGGAGCCTCTTGGAAGCATTTAGGGAGCCCTGGGGGCCTCTTGGGGGTGGTCTCTTGGGGGATCCGGGGGACGTTTTCGGGGTCTCTCGGGAGCCTCTGGGGGCCTTGTGGAAGCGTCCACGAGGCTTCCCAGAAGGTGTTGGGGGGGGCATGTTGGGAGCCGCACCCCATGAGGAAGTGCCCCACGACCCGTTTTGGTACCCTCTTGGGGCTCCCCTGGACCGTCTTCGGGGCCTTCTTGGGTCGTGTTTGGGGCCTCATAAGTGGTCTTGGAGCCTCCTTGAGCGCCTTCTTGACCGTCTTAGAGGCTGTCAAATGCTGGAAAACCGAAGATGCTGAACATGCACGTCTTCCTGAAGGAAGGGCCAATTTTTGCCTCCTGGGGTTCTCGGAGGGGGCTCCTCGGAGGTGGGGGCCTGGTGGCCCGTCTTCAGACCGTCTGGGGGCGTCTGTGGAGGCGCCAGAGAGCCCCAGACGCAAGGCTGGACGGCCTTGGGTCTGTCTGGGGGGGGCGCTTTCAGCTGCCCGGGAGCTCTCTGGGCCTCCACCGGCCCCTCGGGGGGCCCTCCTGGAGCCTCTTGGGGCCGTCTTGGCCCTCTCTTGGGCCGTCCTGGGCTCGTCTTGGGGCTCTCTTGGGCGCCATCTCGGGGCCATCTTGGAGCGATCTCGGGGACCTCGGCCGTCTCGAGCGCTCTGGTGACCGAGAAGCTGAAGATGCGAAACTTGCGCCGAAACCTAAGGAAAGCCCATAGTTTGTGCCTCCCGGGGGCCTCTTGGGAGTCGTCTTCGGGCCCCCTCGGATCTGGGGAGCCCGTTGGGCCCCGTCGAGTGGCCATCCTGGGCCCATTTTGGGCCACCTTGGGCCCATCGTAGCCGTCGCGGGGCTCTCGTCGGCCCTTCCTGAGGCCTCCTGGGGCCCTCCGGGGCCGTCTTGCGGCCATCTGGGGCCGTCTTGGGCCCCCCTGGGGCGCTCTGGACTCAACCTCACTGGCCGGGCCCGAAGTTGTCCCGGATCAGTTTTCTATGTATTAGGTACTCGTTGTATTAGTTAGTGCAGCTGTACACATGCAACCGCTTGAGAATCCCCAGTCTTGCCAGATCGCAATCTCTGGAACTTCAACGCCGCGAATCAAAGCGATTATTGCGTCCTGACCACATTTTGAAAAGGAGCCGCCCTCTATCCGTGAAGCTGTTGCAATCTTTTGAGACGAATGTGCCCGGCCCCAAGGCGAAAGCCACAAGTTGTTGCAATTTCAAGCTTCATGATCATAAACCGTGAGAAGTTCTCACGCGAAACGCCCAGCCCGCCCTACCGACACGTCTGGGGAGGAGCTATTTACAAGTAGTTGCAGAACATATTGAAAGCAGGGCGTCGCTGTGCGATCGACCCAGCCTGGCCGCGAGAACCGTCTGTCCCATCACGCTCCTGCCGAGCGGGCGTCCTCGCTTACATTCGAAAATCCTCAACGCCCCACGCCTCCCGCTGCTGGAGAGCGATTGGCACGGCGGCCCCAAATTTGACGGGTCGCTGCGACGTGCCCTCGGCGCGCGGCAGGAAGACTGGACATCTACCAGTCCTTCGGCACACGGCATTGGCACGGGCGCTGCAGGACCGCGAGCCTCGTCTGGACTTCAGTCGGGCGTGTCCCTCTACAGGAGGAATATTCAAAAACAGTCAAAAATAGTAGGGGGAATATGTTTAGGGGGTATTTACCTAACAGCGAAGACTGATAGGTTTCTAATGGGCTAAAAAGAGAGCAGCAGATGACTCCACAGGGGGGTCTGGGCGGGTGCCGGACAGGGTGCCGCAGAAGTCGTTTTAAGCCAACAGTCACACACTTCGTGCTCTTCGACCTCCCAGAACTCCATTCCCGGGCCACATTCTGAATGCCCGGAGCCAACTGTAGGCCACTTCGTGCTCTTCGACTTCCCAGAACTCCATTCCCGGGCCACATTTTGAATGCCCGGAGCCAACTGTAGGCCACTTCGTGGTCTTCGAGTTCCCAGAACTCCATTCCCGGGCCACATTTTGAATGCCCGGAGCCAACTGTAGGCCACTTCGTGCTCTTCGAGTTCCCAGAACTCCATTCCCGGGCCACATTTTGAATGCCCGGAGCCAACTGTAGGCCACTTCGTGCTCTTCGAGTTCCCAGAACTCCATTCCCGGGCCACATTTTGAATGCCCGTAGCCAACTGTAGGCAACTTCGTGCTCTTCGACTTCCCAGAACTCCCTTTCCTGGGCCACATTTTGAATGCTGAGGCAGGCTGATGCTGCGGTCGAGGCAGGCTGGGGCTGAGGCAGGCTGAGGCTGAGGCCGAGGCTGAAGGCAGACTGAGGCTGAGGCTGAAGCAGACTGAGGCTGAGGCTGAGGCAGGCTGAGGCTGAGGCTGAGGCAGGCTGATGCTGAGGCAGGCTGAGGCTGAGGCTGAGGCTGATGCAGGCTGAGGCTGAGGCAGGCTGAGGCTGAGGCCGAGGCTGAAGGCAGACTGAGGCTGAGGCTGAAGCAGGCTGAGGCTGAGGCTGAGGCAGGCTGAGGCTGAGGCAGGCTGAGGCTGAGGCTGAGGCAGGCTGAGGCTGAGGCTGTGACTGCGACTGCCGTTGCCGCTGCGACTGTCATCGCGAATGCGACTACGACTGCGAGAACAGCAGAATTCTACAACTGGATTTTCATCTGAATCTTAAGGGGAATGCTTTCAGATATGCTTCTACACATCGCTGTTAGGTTGCTTTGCCGGGATATTTTTTTGTTGCACTTTTTGAATATTTTGGGGGGTAGTTACCTAACAGCGAAGACTGATAGGTTTCTAGTGGTCTCAAAAGAGAGCATCATGACTCCCCAGGGGGGTCTGGGCAGATGCCGGACGGGTGCCGCGGGAATCCGGGGAAATCCGGGGACCCCTTTTTTAGCCAACAGTAACGCACTTCGTGGTCTTCGAGTTCCCAGAACTCCATTCCTGGGCATGATTTTGAATGCCCGGAGCCAACTGTAGGCAACTTTGTGTTCTTGGAGTTCCCAGAACTCCATTCCTGGGCATGATTTTGAATGCCCGGAGCCAACTGTAGGCCACTTCGTGGTCTTCGAGTTCCCAGAACTCCATTCCTGGGCATGATTTTGAATGCTCGGAGCCAACTGTAGGCCACTTCGTGGTCTTCGAGTTCCCAGAACTCCATTCCTGGGCATGATTTTGAATGCCCGGAGCCAACTGTAGGCCACTTCGTGTTCTTCGAGTTCCCAGAACTCCATTCCCGGGCCACATTTTGAATGCTGAGGCAGGCTGATGCTGAGGCTGAGGCAGGCTGAGGCTGAGGCAGGCTGAGGCTGAGGCCGAGGCTGAAGGCAGACTGAGGCTGAGGCTGAAGCAGGCTGAGGCTGAGGCTGAGGCAGGCTGAGGCTGAGGCTGAGGCAGGCTGAGGCTGAGGCAGGCTGAGGCTGAGGCTGCAGGCTGAGGCAGGCTGAGGCTGAGGCAGGCTGAGGCTGAGGCCTGAGGCTGAAGGCTGAGACTGAGGCTGAGGCTGAAGCAGGCTGAGGCTGAGGCTGAGGCTGAGGCTGAGGCTGAGGCTGAGGCTGAGGCAGGCTGACTGAGGCTGAGGCTGAGGCTGAGGCTGAGGCTGATGAGGCTGAGGCTGAGGCTGAGGCTGAGGCTGAGGCTGAGAGGCTGAAGGCTGAGGCTGAGGCTGAGGCTGAGCAGCTGAGGCTGAGGCTGAGGCTGAGGCAGGCTGAGGCTGAGGCTGAGGCTGAGGCTGAGGAGGCTGAGGCAGGCTGAGGCTGAGGCTGAGGCTGAGGCAGGCTGAGGCTGAGGCAGGCTGAGGCTGAGGCTGAGGCTGAAGGCTGAGGCTGAGGCTGAGGCTGAGGCAGGCTGAGGCTGAG